AAATACTGGGGCTGAATTACACATAAATATTTGCTTCTACATGCATAGGATATCTCTGAATGATTATATAAGAAATCAATAGCTTTGGCTGTTTCTAGGGAATTAAGTTATGTGGCTGGGGACAGGAGTAGGAAGATTTTTATTTTAAAAATTTTTATTTTGAAAATGATTAAATATGAAAAAGACAGAAAATAAAGAGACTAGTACATATCCAGGATCCCTTATCCACAGTTCTAAAATTTACAAAATTCAGAAAACTCTGAGTTTTTTCCCCATAAATTTGGGGAAGTTTTTTATGGGGAAGTTTTTTCCCCATAAAACTCATAGGAAGGCAAATCCTGAGGTTTTTCAGTCTTTATTTAACTCACTTAGGGTGACTATTCATGTATTTCATTGTAGAAATATTAAGGTGTTTGACATGTTCTGAAACTCTGCTTGAGGTTACATAATATACAGCATATAGCCATTATCTTTCTACAATTTAAAAAATCCTGAATTTGGAAAGACATATGCTCCCAAAGCCTTATGTGTAACATAAACAAGTAGTCACCTATATTTTATAATTGTTTACATTTTGCCATATTTGCTTCCCCCATTCTCTCTCTCACTCTCTGTGCTGAAGTATTTTAAAGTAAATTATAGAGATCATAACTTACCACCCTTAAATACTTCAATATCTGTCTCTAAAAAAAAAGAACATTTTTAATAGAACTACAATATTATTACCACATCCAACAAAAGTTAAAATATGAGAGAGAGATTTTTCAGTGTAAGCCCTTTTGTACCTTTTGTTTTTTGAATCTGTGGCTATATAACTTATTCAATAGACAATAAAACTTAAAATTAAAAATAATCTGGATGGGACTTTTAATACTTAAAATTGCCAAGAAGCTGTGGGATCTGTCCAAGATATCATTAAAGGAAAGGAAAGAAGGACTCAAAAGAAGCAGCTGAAATTGAAAATTGGAAAAACAAACCACTTCATTTTAGTTCCCAACTAAGTTGGGGCTGGTGTGAGGAGGGCTTGATAGGCATGAAAAGCCAATCCAAATCTAAAAGAAGTGTCTGTTACTTTGAAGGAAAGTTTTGTTCTCTTCATCATAGAAAGAATCGAATGCAATCAACTTGCCACTAGGTGGCTGGCTGTACCCATTGTGATATTACACCATATCTAGGATGTAAGGTTGTTTGCAGCTCTTGCAAATTGGATCCTCAACAGTGGTGGCGGATCTTCAACAGTGGTGTTAGCTAAATTAGTCTTTGCAAAAGCTTTTGTTTTGTTTTGTTTTGGGTTTTGTGCCCGTGCACAGCCTCTATCAGGGCAGACATGGTCACCATGCTCAAAATCTCCTTCAGCAAATGCTGGGATCGTTGAAAAAAGAGCTGCTGACATTCATAGGGCAGATCATCTCACCCACTTGCTCACCGAAACCCTCCCTTGGGTTAGTGGAGATTCATATGGGACACAAATATTTACACATTTGGCACCCATTCTAAGAGGTCTACCATATAACAGTTAGTTTTCTCAATCTCTGTGTCACCATCCTCTAATCCCTCCCTCCCTCTTTACATTCTTTCTTTCCTTTCCTTCCTTTCTCCCTCCCTTCCTTCCTTTTCTTCTTTCTTTCTTTCTTTCTAGCTTATGGCATAACCCACAGCACTGTTAGCATCCCAATATTTCTGCTTCTAGATTCGGGTAATCCTCAATCTTTTTAGTCAGTCTTGTAGTTAATATTTCTTCTTGTCTATGAGATGGTGTGGCATTTTCAATATTTTCAGTAGGAATCCCCATTCCTACATTAAAAATAATTCTTTCTGTCCCAGGACACTCATCAAAGTACTGCCATAGGGGACTCTTTCCTCATGCAGAAAGGTGGGAGTTAGCACCTCTTACAGCTGTTTAGCTACGGTGAAGCCCAATGTACTGCTCCTTGACTTTAGGGTAGAGCCTGCCTGAGTCCTCTAGTTGACCTATTCACAGGCACGTATAAACCAGTTAGAGAGCCTACCCAACTGCCAGAAGGACATTTGAGAATTTTCATACAAATATGAAAACTGTTTACATGTCACAGATGGCCATCCAAAATGGAAGAGAATAATATATTTTAACAGTCTATTCAAATCCAAGAGAAGTTAAATATTTGCTTCCATTTCATATAGTTTTTTAAGAAAGCTTGTAATGAGGTCTTTGCAAGAGAACACGGTATGTGGAAGGAAGTGATGAGGATTTTGAACAAATTTTCTTCACACTGATGCTTTTAATGATTAAATACTTATTGGATATTTGGAAGAAATTGAAGTAAAGCATGAAGCTTGGGCATATTTAATCCTCAGAAGGCTAGGTTGAGGAAAACAACTAAAGACATTTACAGAGTTACAGTTTTGGAGTTAAAACACATCATGGAACCTCCATTAACATACAAGATACTTGCTTACCACTGTAATAAGATAAATAATGAGGTTCTGTTAAAACAAAACGTAGTTTAATGTATGCAATACCACCATTCTGGTTGGCATAATAAAATTGGCAAATGACTACTGGTACTTAAAATTATGCTGTTGTGTACCAGTAAAGCTTATTTAATTGGTTTGGGGTTGATTTTTGTATTACTACTAAAAATCCAGACAACTTTTATAGCAAAAAATAGAAAGGAAGGGAGGAAGGGAGGGCAGGATGGAAAGACAGGGAGAGAGAGACGGAAAGGAAGGGAAGAAGGGAGGAAGGGAGGAAGGGAAGGGTGGGGAAGGGAGGGAAGGGAGCCTATGTAAAGAATATGAAGGAGCCCGGACAAATGAGTTTTGGTACATGTGCTTTATGGAATATTATGCAACCACTAAATGAGTTAGATCTACGTGACAAAGAAGGATGTCTAAGGGCATGTACTGAAAACATTAAAATAAGTGGAGGAGAAAAAGCTAAATGTAAAATAGCTTAATACAATTGTGTGCGTGTGTGTGTATATGTGTGTGTGTGTGTGTATGAGAGAGAGAAAGATATTAAAATGACATACAAATTCCAAACTAACGGTGACAGTGACTGCCTCAGGGGGTGGGACTGAGGAGGGACGTGTGAAGTTTTACCTTTTACTTTATTAATTTGTTACTTTATTCATTTTGCATTGTCTGAGGTTTTTTTAATCATAAATAACGTATTAACTTTTAAAATGTTTTTTAAAATCGGCATTTTCAATAGTTAACGGCCTATGCTTCATAAAACCCGTATGCGGCCCCCACACGTACGATATTCCGACAATGCGATCCAGGGCTTAAAAAGAACTGGAGGCCAGGAAAGGGCGGGTTGATTCCACCTGGGTGGGCGGTGCGGGAGGTGTGACACAGAGACGCGCATCCTAGAGCGACCCGGAAGTGCCTCAGCTCTGTCGCCCGGATGACTGGCCGGCGTTCTCCCAGCTCGGCTATTGTTCTCGCAAAGCGCTTCTCATAATTCCCGGGTTCGGGCACCTTCTCCCTCCTCGCCTGTAACAGGTCTGGTGAGTTGGCTTCTGGGACTGGGGCTGGGGGAGGTGGGGCAGAGAAGGGGTGCGGAAAGTGAACCTCAGCCGCGGGGAGGTCGGAGCAAGGGGAGGGGAGGTTGTCTGTGCCGGGAGGCTCCGGGCGCCACCTGGACCCAACGGGAGAAGTGGGGGGGGGGGTGCTTCGAGGCT